CTTAACAACAAGCTGAATTGTATTAAACACTACAAAGTCATCTTGAGTATTTTAAATCAGTTTGTGTAGTTAGGTTTCCCAGTACCTGTGGTTACCTAATGCTTAATATTATAGAACTGTCCTCAAAAAGTTACCAGTTTTCAAGGCTATAAGGAAAAGCAGAAGGACTCTTAATCCTGTATTTATCATTTACTTTCTGTATATATAGTTTAATAACCTGCTCGGGTGTAATTTGCCAAGCTTGAATTCTTTAATGCATTTGCATAAATTCTCTACTGTTTGGAGCTTAAAGCTACAGAAGCATTGTTAGGAGTTGCTTTGACTGAATTTTAAACTTTTTGACATTGTTAAACAAGCATGTTCATCTTTTCTTGTCACTAGTCCAAGAAAAATATGCTTAATGTATACTACTAAAGGCTATTTATGTGTTAACCTGTTTTAATGCCAAAAGTTTGCCATTTGTCCACAGTTTCCTTAAGAACTCTTTAGAAAAGGATTTGTTTGCCTTAATGAGTACTGTTACATAACAACAGTATAATGAGTGGGAAGGGCAGAAGCGAGAAAACCCTGCACCTGAGCTACTCCGTGAAGAGCGAATATCCACGTCTAGATTGTGCGTCATGAGGACTTGATCTTTCCTTAAACATAATAATGTTTTCTTTTATTCACATGATTTCTTAGTGTATTTTTCATGCAGGACAGTTTCTCAACCTTGATGTCCAGTGACTGTAAAACTTTGCTTTTAGTGGCAGTGTATAATCTGTAAGATATGGTAAGCATCTTGTCTGTTTGGAAGGGGATATGACAATACATCTACTGGATGGAGGATCCTATTAAAAAGTAGACAAAGCTTTAGTAATTACGCAGTGTGATGGTTTTTACCCTGTTTTTCTTTTTTCTCCCGTGGTCTATAATGAAATTGTTATAGCAGTGCAAAATAAAAATCCTATGTCTAAAAATGAAAAAAAAAGTAAAAAGAATAGTGTTATAGTTTGAGGTTTAGCAAGGGGAGCCATACAATACAGAACACTTAGTTATAAGATTATTTTATAATGAATTGCCCAAAGAATTATATCCAAAGAATGCAGAAAATCGGTCCTCACACTAAAAACCAAAGAATCCAGCTGGGGACCCAGTTCCCACGGTAACATCCTGCGTGAGTCCAGATGAAGACCTAGAGCTCATAACACTGCCTCCCACAGTCCAGCTGGAGGCCTGCAGCCCACAACAGTGTCTCCTGCAGGCCCGCTTCTCGCATCTGTGCTGGCTGACCCCAAGGTCAGCGGTGGAAGCTGGAAAATTTGTGCCAGTGAGTTGAAGGATCTGTGCTAGCAGGCTTCGAGATCTGAACTGGAGCCAGGAAGCGATGCTCAGAGTAAGAACCAGAGCTCCCCCCAAAAGTACCACAGCCATCCTCAGCAACAGAGAGGTCCTGAGCTGCTCTGACAATGAGGACAGCCAGGTCTCCATCAGGAAGGCCAATGTGACAAGCTTCTCCAGGACACTGAGCAGTGTATCACTCCCAGTGTTTGTAAGGTTAGTGCACATGCTTTAATTTCTCTTAGGAGCAAACTGGCTGGATTATATGGTAGGTGTATGTTTCCTGGTCAGTGCTTGGGATGATCCATATTTAATTTTAGCCATTTCACTAGGTGTGTAGTAGTGTCACACTGTGTTATTGACTTGCATTTTCCTAGTGATTGGTAATGTCTAGCATCATATGTGTTTATCTGTCACTTTTATATGTTCTTTGGTAAAATGTCTATTCAAATGCTTCTCCATGATCAAAAAATTGGATTTTTAAATATTATTAAGTTTTGTATACAAGTTACTGAGCAAAAAGAAACTAGTCATGTGTTTTCTCCCAGGCTATAGTTCATCATTTCATTATCTTAACTGTCCTTTTTGAATATTTTAATGAAAAAATCCAACTGATTAAGTTTTTCTTCTATAGATTTTGGTTTTGCTTTCATATCTACAAATTTTTGCTTAACTCAAGGTAAAATTTTTTCTTGTGTTTTCTTAGAGAAAGATTTTTACATTTCCTTTTGTGCAGTTTGTTTTTTCTGGTGGCAAGGTTGAGGCTAGGGCTTTGTATATGCTGGGCAAGTGCTTTACTATTGACCTGGGCTCTTCATTGTATCCAGTGCTGTGCTATGTTTTATTTTTATGCGTGGTGTAGGGCAGAGATCAAAGCCCATTCTTTTTTTCTGGATACGAAAATTTTCTAGCATCATTTAAAACCACAATTGTTCTTTCTCTACTCAGTTGCTTCTGAATGTTTGTAGAAAGTCAGTTATAAGGTACATGTGAGTTGAATGCTGTATTTTCTCTGCCTGGTTCTTCTCTGCTTATTTTGGTTCCAACATATCACTGTTTCAGTCACTAGCTTTATGAGGAGGACTGAGATATGATCACTTGAGCTCTCTGATTTTGTTGTGATTCATGTTTCTTTAATTAATTAATTTTTTTGTATTTAGCGCAGGGTCTACAGGGTCTTACTATGTAAATTGGACTCATAGTGATTCTCCTGTTTTCAGCCTCCCAAGTGCTGGGATGACAGGTGTGTGCCGCCACATCCAGTCTCAATCGAACCCAGGCTGCTGGGCTCTGCCTAAGCAGGCACGTTAGTCCACTGAGCTATCATGTCAGCCCTCTCTTCATGTTTCTTTAAATAGAATAATTTCACCTATAATCATGAAAAACATGGTCTATAGTTTTCCTCTTTTTGTAATTATTTTAGTTTAGTTTAAATCTAATAGTGTCCTCCTAGGATGAATTGGGACATATTCCCTTTTATTTTATTTTTAAAATTCTTTTAAAAGAATACGCTATAGTTTAAAAAAGCATTAGAAACAATACAAAATTTAACTAAACAAAGCAATCCCAAGAGCTAGGATTACAGGCGCTCGCCACCACGCCCAGTCTCAGTTGCTGTCTCAGCATACTCTGGGGGCGGGCTGGCACTGCAGGCCTGGGGATTGAACCCCCGGGCCCTGCACCTGCTTGCAGGCACTTTAATCTGCTGAGCTACTTGGCCGGCCCTCATAAATGCATCTTTTTCTCTTCTTTCCATTGTCCTTTTTCTCATCCCAGGTTTTACTCCCCATTGAACAGATTCTTTCCTTTCACAGTGTCTAGTGCACCTTTCAGATTGTATTTGCTCTTTCAGGCTCTCACGCTAGCGAGACAACCTGCACAAGTGGGTCTGATTTCCTTACCAACACAGCCTCTAGCTGCACCCATTTATGTGCAAAACCCTCGAATTTATCTTTGTTCATAGCGGAGTCATACTCCATTGTGTAAAAAATACCAGTTCTCTTATCCATTCCTCAGTTGATGGGCATTTAGGTTGTTTCCAAGATTTAGTTATGACAAATTGCACTGCTATAAACATGGGTGCACATAAATCACTGTTTTTTATTTGGTTTACATAAACTTTTTTAAAAAAATTCACCAGCAAAACCTTCCCTCCTGAAGCATTTTTTTGTGCAAACATTTTTCTTTACAAATTTAATACATATGGGGTATTAAATGATCCATTTCTTCTTGCATAAGATTTTGCAGTTTGTATCTTTCAAGAAATCTGTATATTAACTATACATCTTATAATTTTTGATCGGCTGCTTTTTCAAGCATTTTGTATTTTTCTTTTAATTTCTCCTTTAATTAAGGAGTACAGTATTTCTGAATACTTAGAGATTTTCCAGAAATGTTTGTTTTGAACATACAATATTTAAATGGCAATGGAATACCCATCTCTGACAAAACTAAACAAAAAAAGGGGATACAAATGGAGGACCATTTTGTATCTGTGTATACAAAATAGGATAGATATCTATCCTATTTTTTTTATCTCCTGTTTTTGTTTAGTTTTGTCAGAGATGGGTGTTCCATTGCCATTTAGAACTATAGGTGTATGAATTCAGCAAAATAATCCAAATATACTTCAGTAGTCCATAATAGTAGTGGGTTATCCCTAGGACTGGCAATGTCAGAAGTTGTTGACTTGAGCTCTTTACAGCTTAGTATATTAATAAAGCTTTACTTTTCATACCTCATTGTTATACTTTTTTTGCTGGATGGTTAAGACCAAGATAAAGCAAGACCTATATAACAAGAAATGTAACCTTTGTATCTGACAAGGTCAGTCAAATCCCCTCAGGATTTATACTGAAACCCTGTACTGCACTTTGTAGATTCTTTGTCAGTGTTAGCCATGTGGATAAATCATGGCCATTGCTTGTCCAATTTGTTCTCTGTGAAAGCCTGAGAGAATGTTTTCTCTCCATGTGACTCTCCTTAGGTACACTCTACATCCCTGATCACTTTCCTCTGCGGCCCCATAATCTCCTTGATCAGAAAATTTGGGACATCACTGAGTTATAGGATGTTACAGTACAGGTTCTCTTATGTCCTGAGTCCTCACTGACCTTGAAAGGCTAGGGCCAAAATATTGGCTGTTCTTGCAGCTCTTCTTTTTCTCTAATTTTTGGTCTGCAACTTAAGTTGTTAACCCTCCAGAAGAGAAGCTTAATGATATTATTACCTTATAACACAGGCAATTGAGCTTAATCTCACTATCTGTCTGAATATCAAACATCTTAGACATAGCATGGAACAGGTATTTTCCATCAAGTGTTGATATGTTAATCCCTACAGAAATGTGAAAAAAAAGAAAAAACAAATAATAATATTTTAAAAAAATGGAATAAACAATTTGTAATAGCCAAATGTTGGAAACAACCAAAATGTCAGTCACCTGAGGAATGGATGAAAAAGATGTGATTATTTTATACAATGGCATATTACTCAGCTATAAAGAATAATAAACTCAAAGCCTTTATATTTAAGTGGATGCCACTTGAAGATATACTCATAAGTGAAATAAACCAGGCCACATGTATAAATATCATATTGTCTCCCTAGTGTAAGAACTCAAAAGAAGAAATAAAAAGAGAAAGGTATAACATAATTAAAAGGAAAGCGAGGACTTAAGGATTAAACAAGGAAGATAGGGCAAGGAGAAAAGCTAGGAAATGACAGGGGCAAAACCACACATTATATTTCTTACTTTTTAATGTACCTATCTTTGAATGTGTACTGAACACTTTATTTCTTTTTAATTTTATTTATTTGGTACAGGGTCTCACTATGCAGTTCAGATGCGCAGTGAGCCTCCTGTTTCAGCCTCCCCAGTGCAGGGATTGAGGTGTATTGCCTCCACATCCAGTCTTGGTGGCTGGCTCAATGCACCCAGGGGCAGGGCCGGGGCCAGTGTATCATGTGGTACTGGGGACTGAACCCAGGTCCTTGGGGTCCTTGCGCTTGCCTACGCAGGCACTTAAACCACTGAGCTAAGTCCATGACCCTGAACATTATCTTTGAAGAATTATTTGAAGGTATATTTGGAACTTACTCTGATGTTATCTTCCTCTCACATGAATACTTTTGTTCACATTTACTTCTCTCATATATGTGATGCAAATCTAGACTCACATGACTCTAAGCTCAAAGTCTACCCAGTGACATTCCAATGGGTGATCCTGGGTTGTCTTGGGCTCACAGGGGCTACGTCTTATCTGGCTTGTCCTCTTTCCAGAGGTGTAGCTCTTTGGATTCATTAGCAAGGCAGAGTGTTTTTCCAGCTCACTCACTGATAAGCAAGGTCTCGTAGCAGAAGGAGCTGCCTGGCCCAAGTGCGGGCCACCACCCTGCCACCGGCCTCTGTTGCTCTCTAGCCTGCTAGCTCCTCCCTGACTTCTGCCCATTTGCTGCTTTGCGGAGCGCCAAAGCCCTAATCGTCCTGTAGGAAGTGGTGGTGTGCGTCACCCAGCCTCTCTGCTTGCTTTCTTTCTTCCTTTCTTTCTTTCTTTCTTTCTTTCTTTCTTTCTTTCTTTCTTTCTTCTTTTTTTGCAGAACCAGGGATTGAACTCAGGCCCTTGTGCTTGCAAGCGCTTATTCTACTGAGCTATCTCTTCAGCCCCACCCCTTTGCTTCCTCTGCACATTCTGAAACTCTTTCCTGCATAAACGTTGGATCTGTTGGGCTCATTTTATGTTCTTAAATATATTTAGCATCCATTTTTCACCTCATTTGGTTGGTCTGTGTGAGTGATTTCTTTAATTTTTTCCCCCTAATTCTTATTGAGTCTTTATTTCTGTTCTTCCAGTTTGGGATTTGCAAGGGTTTTATCTCTTTTCTCTGAATCAATCTCTACCCTTTCCTTTCCTCTTCCCCTTCCTCCTTTCTTTTATATTTCATTGTCATAAGCACATACTCCTCCATATTTTCTTATTTCCATGTACATATTTATGAAATTTCTTCTCCCATCTGTTTCCTTCAACTTTTTCTGTTATAAATAATATTCAGGGGGCTGGAGAGATGGCTCAGTGGTCTGAAGCACCTACTTAGAACAAGCTTAGCAAAGCATCAGGGACCGCGGTTCAACCCCCAGCACCACATGCCGGCCAGCCCCGCCCCCTGGTGGGCTGAGCTGGCCACACACACACACACACACTCTCTCTCTCTCTCTCTCTCTCTCTCTCTCTCTCTCTCTCTCTCTCAAATAAATAAAAATTAAAAAAAATTAAAAAAAATAAATAATATTCAGTGTCTGTAAACATTGGCTCTCAGCCCACACTGGAGAGACCTGAAATTCTGACTGTGCTGGGCAGGGACACTGGGTTGGAGCTCCCCCTCGCCCTAGCCATCAGTACTCTTAGTTCTTTGATTGTGGGGTGCTCAGATCCTTTAGATAAACATCTTCTAGACTGCTGTCTGGAAGCGGAAGCAGCTGATGCCTGTGTCTAGGAATCACATAGGGGCTAGTGCTGCTGTCAATGACAGCCTGAGGCTTGTCCCTCTACTGTTAGAAGTCTGGATGTGTCAGGTCCAGTGTCTTCCGGGCTTCCCTCAGTTTACTGCCTTCAGGATTATATTGGGGCCAGGACTGAGATTTACCATTTTCTGGGATGAAGAAGGAACTCATTGGATGTGTTCAGTTGACAAACTGTATTTTTCCATTCCACAGAACAGAAAGCTGGTTTTCACTGCCACCCAGGTGGGCCTTCTCTGTTCTCTGTACCAGAGTCTCCCACCACTCCCAGGCCTTTCCTTTGTCCGGGCACATCTGCCCTGGAAAGGTGGTGAACAGAATGAAAGTGGCCTGGCCTCACAGTGCAGAGGTGCACCCATGAATGTCAACATCTCTGGAACACTGACACCTGCTGGGAACTGGGCTGGCTTAGGGGATGCTTCTCTGCACAAGTGCTCTTGTACATGAGCTGGAGAGAAGGCTCGAGGCAGGGGTCGACTTCAAGTGTCCTTGCATGTGGGAGCTGGGGCTGACAGGAGCAGATGGGTTGGACTGGCAATGAGCTAGTGATGGGCTGCGGGGTGTACTGGGTCACAGTGGGCCTGAGGAGGGCTTGGGGATTCAGTTTCTGGACAGTTGGAGGCCTGATGGTGCAAAGCAGGTCAAATGAGGGGAAAGGATAACAAGGTTGGGGTGGCAAGTGTCCTGATTATGTGATGGCATGGGGTGGTGAGGAGGGGCCTGGAGTAGTACATTGCTGCTTGGGGGTGCAAACAGCGATGAGTAGCAGGTTGGGCTTGAACACTTATGGGAATATTTGAGGGCTATGACAGGGGCCTGGGGTTCCCTGAAATCTGTATCTTAGCTTTTCTGGCTCGGGGGTGGGGTGGGGTGCTCTCCCTGCTTGGCATCTTGCTGGCCTGCATGCTGTGCCCCGCCCCCCACGCGGCAACTATTGCTGACTTGCAGCCTCCTTCCCTCCCCATGAGTGCCATGTTCTGTCCAGGGCAGGACCTGTGCCCGCACTGCCCTGGCACCAGGCAGGCTCCACCGAGAGTGGGCATCGGTTCCAACTTCCATCCTCAAAGCCAGCCTGTAAGTTCCCCGGTGCTCCTGGTCTCTGTAGGGCGGGAAGGCCCTGGCTGGAGCTGGCGCTTCACATGCACTTTACTAATGAAAGAGTGCATCAGCGAGCCAATGTTTCTATTCATTTTCCTTTTTTTTTTTTTTTTAAGGATTAGTTTACAGGAATTTTGTTTGGAAGTAGAGTACATCCACTTTGGAAGGATGAACTCGTACTATTTCATGTAAAGGCACTCCTCCTGGAGCACGCTCCTCACTGTCCAGTCTGCAGGGCAAGAGCGCCTCTGCCTGGGTGTTTGTCTGGCTCCGTGTTTCTTCCGATGTAGAGATGGGCCCCCAGTGGCCAAGTAGTGTCCAGCCAGAGATGCTGTCGGTCCTGCCAGTCCTGGAAGTAGTCTTCTAATTTGGCTGCTCCCTTCCTCTGCCCCTGCTTTCATCTTTCCTGTGAGACAAAGAGCACCCAGGAGACTCTGGCCATGCACCCCCCTGTCAGCACTTGGAGGCCGTTACTCAGGCCTTGGTGTCTGTCCTTGGAAAGCAAGTGTCCATGCCCTTGCAAGCGACTTGCTCCAGGGTGGGGCCTGTGCTTTGTTGGCTCTGGTGCAGCTGTTGGGCAGCTGAGCTCAGTACCGAGTACCCATGAGGCCTCTGCTCTCTGCCTCCTGTATGCTCCGTAATGGCCCTGGGTGGAGCTCGGTAGTCCCAGTGTCCACCTCACAGGTGAACAGCTTTGCCAGCATGGCTGGGAGTCAGCACCTGAAAGAGCCATTACAGACATAATGTGACTTTTAATCCATCTACGAGATTCATCTGCAGCTCTCGGCTGGGGATGAGGTGGTGTGGGACCTCATGATTCCTCAGGGCAGGACATTTAGGGCACCCTTATGGGTGTATGGAGCTATGGTTGCTAATGTGGTGGCTGCTACTGCAGTGGTCAGGGACCTTCCCTGTCTTCTCAGCCTCTCAGGAGGGGCGGATGAAGGGTTCTTATAGGAGAGATTGAGGTACAAGCCCTTTAAACCAGGCTTTGGTCAGGGTGGACACTAATGGCAGGGGCTTGGCAGGGGTCAGGGCCTTGTACCCTCCAGTGGTATCGAACCATGTTTGCTCAGAGTATGGAAGCTGGTGGGGGATGGTGCTGGGAGGGCCCAAAGACTGGACCACTGAGTATTAACCTTTGTGGGAGGGGCCCCAACATTCTGATTCGTGGCAGCCCCAGCAGGAGCCCTGAATTCATTTACCATCTCACTTCCTCCTAACTGAGCTGGATGTACCAGTTTCAGGTGGGCACTGGGAGGCTGAATGTCTGTTTTCATATAGGAGCCTTTTGTTTTGTCTCTCCCTGCCCTACATCCTCTGGCTTCTGCAGCTGAGTGGTTTGTCCTCTTCTCTAGTGTCCTATGGCAAACATGATGCCCATAGGTCCTGGATAGAGGAAGGGCCACCCAGCAGAGACCCCTGGGGCTGGCTCAGCTTGGGGTGGGGGACAGAGGTGCTGATGACTGCTGAAGTGTGTGTGTGTGTGTGTGTGTGTGTGTGTGCGTGTGTGTGCATGTGTGTGTGTGTGCGCGTGTGTGCGTGCGTGTGCGTGTGTGTGCGTGTGCGTGTGTGTGCGTGTGTGTGTGTGTATGCCCTTGCCTGGAAACTCTGCCCCCCTTGGGTGGGAAGGGGCCGCTGACTTAAGCCTACCCAAGTGGTCAGTGAGAAAGAAGCCCAGGTGAGCACACAACCTTAGTGTGGCACCTAGGGGTCAGAGCAAGGGCTCTTGAGGGGCACTGGAAGCAGGTGAGCCGTTTCGGGTTAGCTGGCTGTGATGTTGCCCAGTCAGTGAGGGCTCAGGGTAGGAAGACATGCTGACTTCTTCCTTAGCCCCTGAAGGGGTCTGTTGTCCAGGGCTGCTGGTGAGAAGGCTCAGGGATTAGGAGCAGGTCAGGTAATATTGGTTCATCTAGGAGTAGGCTCGCAGGGCCTGAGCCACCCTCTGCAGTGCCCTGCGCAGGGCCTGCTTGACCTCCTGGTTCCGTAGGCAATAAATGACTGGGTTGAGCAGGGGTGTGAGCACTGTGTATACCACGGACACCAGCTTGTTGTAGTCGAAAGAGTAGATGGCGCGTGGCCGGGCATAGATGAAGAGGGAGGCCGAGTAGAAGATGACCACCACAGCCAGGTGTGAGGCACAGGTGGAGAAGGCCTTCTGCCGGCCGGCGGTAGACGGGATGCGCAGCACTGTGCTGAGAATGGCTGTGTAGGAGAAGACCGTGAGCAGCAGCGGCCCCAGCAAGATGAGCAGTGCCAGGAGGAAGTCCACCAGCTCTGCCACTGACATGTCGGAGCATGCAAGGTTCAGCAGTGGGGACACGTCACAGAAGAAATGGTTCATGACGTTGGGACCACAGTAGCCCAGGCGGGAGATGAAAAAGACCTTCCCCAGGGAGATGGTGAAGCCAGAGAGCCAGGAGCCGCCAGCCAGGAGGCTGCAGAGGCTGGGGCTCATGATAGCTGGATAGCGCAGGGGGTTGCAGATGGCCACATAGCGGTCATAGGCCATGGCTCCCAGCAGAGTGCACTCGGTGCAGGCCAGTGCCAGGAAGAAGTAGAGCTGTGCCATGCAGCCTGCAAAAGAGATGCGCTGGAACTCAGGGATGGTCAGGCTGAGCAGCATCTTGGGCACTGTGACGGAAATGTACCACACTTCCAGGAAGGACAGGTTGCTGAGGAAGAGGTACATCGGCTTGTGCAGTGCGGGGCTTGCACAGATCACTGCAATGATGATCAGGTTCTCCGTGACAGTCAGCATGTAGGCGATCAGGAACAGCACCAGCAGGCACAGGTGGAGCCCCAGGGATCCCGGGAAGCCCGCCAGGATGAACTCAGTCACCTCGGAGTGGTTGCTCTTTGCAG